TGTCTGGACGGAAACTCCTCTTAATACTGAAAAGAACGGTAACAGCTACTGGTCTTGAGAAACCTATTTTCCCGAAAAATTGTTTTTAAGAATTTATAAATTTCGAACGTAAGCGATAATTATTGCTCGGTCAATGAATGCCAAAATTTTCCTTATAGGGAAACGCTTTATATTACCATTAGTATTACGATTGGGTTAGCTTGTCGGGTTATTTCTTCCTAATATTCGAAACTGCTCCTAAGGGACGATTTTCAGCACAATAAATACCCCGCCATAATTATTCGTTTTCTCTTTTATACTTTTCCGCTTATAAAACAACATGTAAATTTCTCGCGGAATATCGCGTTTTCTCTTTTTGGGAAACGCATGAAAATTACATACACAAACGCACGTACGTACACACATTCACATACTTTAGACAAAAAACGTTTCCAAATTCATTTATTGCACATACTATTATCTTTGTCACTGATAACACTTTGTTGTTAAAAAACTTTATCAATTGTTTGTACATATATATATATATATATATATATATATATATGTATATATATATGTGTGTGTGTGTGTGTGTGTGTGTGAAAAGTGTATATAAATATAATTAAATATATATATGTATAATTATTTATATATTATATGCGCGGTACTTATTAGAAAGCACTCAATATCAGAGGTAGAGCTAACATATTTGGTTGGATAGATGTGAGTTTGTGTCCCTGGGTTTCACGCTTTAGCGATCGTCAGACAAACTGATTAATGTTTTAAAAAATTTGGGTTTATGTAGATTGCGTGTATTGGTGTTATTGTGGAAGTGGTGGGGGAAATTTCGTCGTTTTGTCATTCATCGTACTAACGCAAACATCGATGTATGCAGACACATATACATACTTGGTCGTCCATCAAAATAATTGCACCTATCATTATTATAATTGCACCACCATTAGTAATCACTTTTACCACTTTACAATATCTATTATCTATCAATATTATCATTACCACCAACACAAAGCACCGTCACTTACACATCACACCCACTATTAACATATAATCCACTACAATCTTTATTACTCCCCCAGCATATTTAATACCTTAATACAATATGATCAGATATAATTTCCATATATAACCATGAGAACAAACACCTATTACCAGGCAGCTTTAATATAATAACAATAATAATTTTGTAATTAAAATTAAAAATTATAGCAATCTTCAACTACCATAATTTTACACAGAATACCTATTATCAGGATTTATACCAAAATAAATTAATACATATAACAAAATAAAACAAAAATAAAATAAAACACCAACAACCACTTTTTAGTTCAAGCTACCACCACTATAACTACATTCATGGTTTTATCATTCTCCCACCACCGTTACTAATCATTTCTACCAATTTGCAATTTCTTCCAATTTACAATAACTATTAGCTAAATAGCATTGTCTCCAATCCCTTGAAACATTACTATCACATCATATCATATAGACCCGTTATTAAATTGAACTACCCTCTCACCCAGTATATTAAACATCACCATATAAATTAAACAATAAGGATTACAAATTTTTACCTGTTACATATACACAGTCACCAAAAACAAACAAATAACCAGCTTTAAATATGACAAATAAACCCCCATTTTTTTCAAAAATTTAAAAATAAATATAAATAATTATAATAATAATTTTTACCTATCATAATTTTACACAAACCCCACCACACGTATATACATACATGCGAGGAAATATTTTTCAGCGGAAAAATACATAATATGACATGTATACATTCACGAGACATTAACGAGACATTTCCGCCACACTTCCAATGTTTAAATTGCAACATTTCAACATACGAATGCGTATGTATAGACATAACACCACCCGTATACATACATGTGTCATAGCCGAAACTGCCCACATACGTTTATATATGTATGAGTCCCGACGGACGACCAAGTATGCATATGTGTCTGCATGAATTGGATCGAGATTACGATTCCAATGTAATAAATTATAACCATAGAATATTAGTGTTTGGGCCTCTTATATTATATTCTTACTCTGTCCTGGACATTGAGTTCTACCTGGATTCTATCCTCTTCGGAATTTATATATATATATATATATATATATATATATATATATATATATATATTTACCATTAATATTATAAATTGAACATATATATATTGAACATTAATATTATCTATCTATCTATCTATCTATCATATATATATATATATATATATATATATATATATATATATATATATATATATATATATATATATATTGCGTCTTGTTGTTTCGTTCAATTTTTCTAGGTGGACTCATACTCCGAGTCTGCCATGTTTGCTGTGGACATTTCAGGAGACCCATGTGTTTAACTCTTAACGCGTACACCGGCCCGCAACAAGCTAAAATGTTCGTTCGTTTTATTAAGTAGAAAATTTACTTATAAACCGAACAAATTTTTTGGCAAATCCAATATAATGAAATTGCTAAGTGTTTATAAACACTTATAAATAAAGGCTCTATTGCTTTGTTGTTCCTATTAAAATTAACATAAACTCGTCAGAGTTTCCTAGAATACCGGGGTGACTTCCTAGTCGTATTGTAGGGTAGTTGAAAAATCCAGTAATTCCAGACAATTGTAATTCAAAACACAATCACAATGATAGGAAGCGACATTTAACGGGCAGATCACGAATCACTGTTCATGTTGCTTTGTTCGATAGACAAGTCTTTAAGTTTTGGATTGTTCTGGAAAGTACAGTGAACATTTTTAGTGCAGATTAACCGCTGTTGAACAAAGTCAGATTCTCAGCGGCAAATTTGAAGGCTGAATCTTCTCAATGTGATCATGCTATTAAGTACATTTGTTGAAATATAAATAAGTTTATTTAACACTAGTAAGTTGCAAATATAAATTAAAATGTTTATTTAGATTGGGGTTCGATTAATGTAACGGTTATCAGCGCGAAAGATGTAATGAGCGAGCCGAGTTCAAAACTCAGCCTCGCTTGTCCTATTCATTTTCGCACTAATACCCTCGGGAAAACAAGAATCAGCCGCTTTTACTTCACCATAAAGTACAGTTTAAATCATACATAGGCAAACTTTCTCGGTAAGTTGACTGCATAATATCTGGCTCATCACAAGGTGGGCCGTACTTTTAAAAAGATTCCAGGTCATTTTTCTTAGTAGATACCTCAGCGAGTTTTACTATAAGCGTAATCATATACCGTAGAAATGGTGGCTGGAGTTGTTCTTTTTTTTTCTTTTCGAAAATATTTTTCTATATTTAAAACATTGAAGTCTTGGTCTAATATTATCACTGATGACAGGGATTAACATATATTGCTGCATATAATTTATTTCGAATTTATTCACTTCAAAATAAAAACAGTATATTCTTCTCTCTGTCTTTTCCAAAAATATTTTCACGGCAACTGCTATGACAAGCGCTTTTTCCCCGTGGTGCCCCGAGTAGATGAATTTAAGCTAAGGATATCATTGACCGAGCATGTAAGCAACGATGAGGTCTTAGAGAGCTTACAAACAAAGAGAAGGCTTATACTTAACATTAGAAAGAGGCAGCTGAAGTTTCTGGGACACAAAATGAGGAAGAAGGGCCTGCAGAATCTGATACTCACGGGTCAAATAGAGGGAGAGAGGGACAAGGGAAAGCAGCATGTGACATACCTGACGAGCAGGTGGATGACAGAACTTGATAGGGGGAGAAGCATAGAGAAGAAACTTGTTGAGAGCTGTAAGGTATAAAGAGAGGTGGAGAGCCATGATCGCCTATGTCCAGAAAGGACATGACACATTAAAAGAAAAGAACTAGATTGACACTTAGGTCCCACCCGGTTACTCTTGGATTCGCTGAATGTAATCACCACATCTACTTCAACAGTTTATTTTCTAGCCTATGGAACTCCCTTACCATTTCTTGCATCCCTGAAAACTACAATCTTCAAAAATTTAAATGCAATATATAAATTCGCTATGTATTTGAATCCCGCCCGTCTTTTGTCCTTTCCTCAATTCTCAGACTTTTCTTTCCCCTACACTCTCTGAAAATCCGCCCCACCTCCTGTGTACAAGTAGCTTGTTTGGAGTGAAATGATTAAAAGAAAATTTCTTCTCCAGAGAAGAATTATTATATATGTTTCTTGTTTCAAAACCAAACGATGATCTTCCGTAGTGAAAATCGTCAATGATGAAAACGTTATCTGTCTATATCTGTGAGGTGAGCTATTATGATTACTCACATTATTTACATTATTATTATCCTCTCATCCTCATTTCCATTGCCATCTTCAGGTGACTGGAATTTCGAACCGAACCCTTTATTTCGTCCACCGGGGTAGATTGTTTTCGTTCCTCGACGTTGGTTAGATCCAGTGACTTGACCCAAAGAGTTGTGAGTTCAATACTAGGCTAAAGCAGTGGTGAAGCAAAACTTGAAGAGTTGAGTTAAAGGGAAATAACTGAGACATCCTGAAGAGGCATGGCACGTGGAACTAGTACAATATACCTCGGTAGACAAAATAAAGAGTTCGTTTCGAAATTCCAATCACCTGAATAAAGCCGGAGCGTACAACGGCCAAAACGTTGTCAATATGGCAATGAAAATGAGGATAACAGTTCGAATAATGTAAATAATTTAATGAAAACGTTAGTTTACTACAAGTTTACACAATTTAAAAAAAATGTACTTAAGCATTTGTTCATATATGTCGTTATGTATGAGCGAGTATATGAGAGGACATAAAACGAAATTTCAAGAAATAATATTTTCCATATGAAATTAAGCGTGGCATTCACAACGAACAAACGGATTGCTTGTGAACGGCGCGCCATACTTTGGTAATGCCTAACTTAACTTATATATTCGTAACAATAAACAGTTGTTGTTTTTTCTTGTTTATAATTTTGGACAATTCACATAAGTTGTCAGCTTATATCTGATATGTGCCTTTATTTTCATGCAGCTTTCGTTCAAAGAATATCTGAATGTCGTAGTTGATATCTATTGATTACACTCTGTAAGAATCCATAAAATTCTTGGCTGGAGAGATCCGGCTATTTTATGAAAATCAACCACAACTACGTTCTTATGTATAAGAGAGTTTGAGTGAACAATTGAGAAGAAAACAAATTTTAAAAAACGTTACTGTCCTAATGAAGGTCAGAAAGACCAACCTTTCGACCATGCTCGGTTTAAATGGCAGAATAGTACGGAATCTATAAACTTCGATGACGACAAGTTTAGAAGAATATTTCTTAATTTAAAATTATGGGAAAAAAAGCAACGAGAAAAGATTCCATTATTTTTCTGAAGAAACGATGGAAGTTTAGGCTATTTACAGAAACGAAGCTGTGGAGAGCCATGAACGTCTACGTTTTAAAGGTGCATAGCGTTTAAAAATAACCTCATTCAATGCATCTTGAATATTGAGATTTTCAGAGCGTTATTTATACGATTACTTTCCCCGCATCAATTTCATTATTTCTTTACTGTTTCTAAATAGGATTCGTTTATTTGTCTCTCTCAATATTCTATTAATCATTTCTTCCTTTTTCGTGCCATTCTTTCAATTTATTCTTTTTGTTACCGTGTATTCACAATCTATATCAGATAAACAATTTTTTCAATGTCTTCTACGTCTGTGTTGCACATAATAAAAAAAAAAAGAAATTTGTAGTAATCTACAATCTTATAAAGGTTGTGGTATTTTCTCTAATTATATAATAATTCTCATACCTTATCTTCAATCTAACAAGTTTGAATTGTTTTTACCCCAAGCAACGTGATAATGTCACAAAGAAGCAAGGGTTAAGTCAAAGTGGAGGAGAATGAGAAGACTTTAGCGAGGATAAAGGACAAGATTAAAGAAGACAGATGACGAAGATAGGCATTTAAAGTTTTTGAAGATTGTAGTTGGCAGAGAAGCAAGAAATCAGAAGGGAGTTCCACAGTCAAAAAGTGCGAGAAAAGAAACTATTAGAATAAAACATACGGTTATATCTAGCTAGTTCAACAATAAAATAATGAGAACTAGTTTCCAATGTAAAAGCTGGCTTAAATTTATTCAGTCGAGGCACCAAATAGGAAAGCTTATCAGAAAAATTACCATTGAAAAGAAAGAGGGAAGCCACCTTACGCCGGTGAGAAAGTGAATGAAATCGAGATGTCTGGTCAAGATCGATTACGTTAAAGACCTTCTTTGAATTTTGTCAGGAATCTAAAGATACAAAGTAGGAGCAACAGACAATGGCAGTTATATTCAATGGAAGAATTGTAGATTTATAATGAGAAAGGTTGACTGGCCGATTCAGTGAACCAACATTTCTAGCTGTGCAATTATTTCAGGTTAATATTTGGACTTTTAGCCTCTTACAGTGCTAAGCAAATGTACTTCTAACGCAAGCTATGAATGAAGTATATTGTAAAGAAAAATAATATATATTATGCAGAAAAAAGAAATACACTGTGAAAAAAATGACTTATATTGTGTAGAAAAATGAAATATTGTGAAGAAAAACGGCATATATTCTGCAAAAAATGACATATATTGTGAAGAAAATTGAAATACATTGTGAATAATATTGACATATGAAGAAAAAGGAAATAAGAAGAAAGATGAAAGGTATTCGGAAACAATAAATATGAAAATAAATGAAGAATATTTTTTGTCTCACAGTGAGTGTATTTTAAAATCTGTGAATTATTTATGTGTACAGATAAGTAAACATTTTACATAAAACATTTTACATATACATGTGGAACTCTCTCCCGTTTTCTTGCTCCCTTCCCACCTACACTCTTCAAAAATTTAAATACAATGTCAATTGTCATCTTCTGTCTTCCTGAATGCTGTCCTTTCTTCCAAAACTAAATTTTTCTCATTCTCTGGTAATTTGGGATAAGAAATGGCTTGTAAATTTTAACAGCACCAAAATGAAACTATCTTTTAATCACCATAGAGAATCATTTTTTTATCTTCCATCAGCAGGGCAGATGTTAATCTCCAGGAGAGTAATTTATTGCAACTTTGTGGCCTTGCATTTTTCACTGACATGAGGTGGATTGATTATATGGAATCAATTGCCATATATACTGCTAGGAAAGTTGGTTCACTGTGTCGTGCTGGACAATATTTTCATCTTACACATTAACTGACCTTTTGTCCATGTACTGAATACTGTTTTCATTTGGTGATCTGCTATATAACTCGAGTTTCTTGCCAAAATCTAAAGAAACAACTGTAATAGAATTGGCCCTGATATATGTCGACTTTAGTTACTTTCCTACCACTGTGATGCGGCTGCTCTGTCTTTTCTACACACATTTTCATGGCAATTGTTCTAATAAGCTACTCTTTATGGTACAATGACTGCATGAATTTAAGCTTACTACTAAATTGGTAACTAGGTCTTGTAGTTTTATCATTGAATTAGCCAGATGTAATCATAAGTTCCATTCTAATAGTTTCTCTTCTAACACTTCGCACCGATGGAGCTCTCTTCAAGTTTCTTACTCCCCTGCTACCAACATTCTTCAAAAATTTAAATGCAACGTCAATCGTCATCTTCTGTTCTCCTGATTCCTGTTCTTTTATTGTCTTTTCCCCGCATTAAGTCTTCTCATTCTCTTTCACTCACAGTGAGTCCTGGCGTCTTAGTGACATCATTGCTATCATTGGAGTTGAATGATTTTAAAATAAAAAAAAAACTTATTCATCTTTTTTAATTAGTCTCGTCAGATCTTGAATCCCAATATGAATGCCATACATGGTCTCCCATTCGTTCACATGTTTCTAAACTAACATTTATACATCCCAGTTTTCTTTGAGCTTTGATTAAAATGGCTTCATGCAAATGAACCTTTCAGGTCTAAATAAACAGATAACCCTTCATCAGATCTTATAGACGGTGCATGGAATCACAAAGATTTTTACCAAATAACAAAAACCAAATCACCTGAAGACTCCCAACTCCACCAAAAAAAAGGGGGTGGCGCGTGTAACTAGAAGAGATAATAAATATGTTGACTTTTCACTCTATCTTAAATAAAAGTTTAGCAAAGAAACCTCTATAAAGGCTAGGAAACTGTGATAACAATGTGTGAACTTGAGAAGTCTATCTTTTGTGAGAAATCGATTTAAAGAAGAGTTTATTAATTTTAACCGACACTAACGCAAACTATTCGGTCAATCGATGCCAAGCAAACATGGACATTTGTGTCCACAAAAGAACTATCTGTCAAAACGGCAGGTATTCCTTTGACACCGCTATTATTTTAACTACCATCACTTTTCAGTAATGTTTTCAAAAGCAATGATTAGAATTGTAATAAAACCTAAATATATGAAAGCAAATTTGTACATTTTCTTTGTTCCTGAGAATTTACAACAAATATAATAAAGAAAATTTATTATATTGTTTATTGGAATGGTTGGCAATGCTTGGGTTAGTTGCCAATTAATTCGAACTTTATAAAATGGTAAATAATAAGGATTTTCTTATATTTGGTTCAGATATTTTAATAATTTAGCAAATGTTTATAAATTTATGAATTAAAATTGTTTTCATATTTATATATTTTTGAAAGAATAAATGATAAATATTGCATTGCATTAACTTTAATTCTACTAGTTTTTAGAATGTTGTAAATATAAAATTATTCTTGTAAATAATCTAAGAAATAATGTTTAGTATTTTTCTTGAAAATTGTCAAGAACCAAAAAAAATATATTAAATTCAGTTTCATGATATGTTTAGTTTTTATTACAATACTAATCATCGATTTTTGAAAGAATAAACATTACCGATGAATGAAGGGATTGAAAATAATACAGTTTTAATAAAAAACTGTCACATTGGAACTCTTTTTTTTTTTTTTTTTTTTTTTTTTACTGGCGTGGAAGGAGTTTGCTGGAAGGAATGTCCAAATTTTCAGAATGCTGAATGTTTCCTGTACGGACATAATGAATTTTACCATTACGATTCCAGCATTTGAGCTGGGATAATTATTTATCAGGATGTTAACCTATGGTAAAGAGCGTGCAGAATTCATATCTTTACTAAGGGTATTCGCGTTAAATGAACATTAAAAGACACAAGCGAAATCGAACTCGCGCTGCTGTTACTGTTTTGTTCAAATGGCAACTCTTATGCCACCTCGTATCTCTGTCTAATCTATATACGAAAAATGTAGATGCTTTCATGCATTTTTCAGAAACAGCATAATATATAAGCAGATTACAGTTAAAAAAGAGTTTCTGATTTTAACTTTATTACCTCCATTGATTCCGACTTCACCCACGCCTCGCTTTCATTGTTGTTTCTTCTGTAAGGCAAAATCAATCAATAACATCATCCATTTAAAAAGAAAACGAGAAACAAGCGAAAAAATATAATTTGATCGATTATTTCAAATTAGAATGTTTCATTCTATATTGAATATTGGATTTCGGTCGGGTTAAAGGTCGAAATGTACTCCTGAGAATAACGTAATCCGTCAGGATTCAATTTAAGATGGCGCATCGCCCGCCATCTTTTATATTTGTTTTTTTGTTGAATTGGTCAGTTCCACCTAAGAAATTCCTAGCAGTTTTTTTTTCCTTTGTTAAATGCTTTTTTCCCTATTTTTACTGTTTTTTTTCTTTTCTTTTTTAGACTATTAACCAGGGTATTTGTTTGCGTCATTTGAAAATATAATGAAATATTCTCATAGTTTGTTAATGTTTTCACAAGACCGTCAAAACAAAAGTTGGTCCTAACGGGAAAATATAAACTACAATTTTTGCACATTTTCCAAAAGTAGCTAATTGAATCGAATTGTTAAATAGATTTCAGCGTGTTAATTAGTTTGCTAAAGAATTACATTAATTAGAAGCATGGTAGCAGATTGATTTCCTTCCTTAAAACAAAGATCTTTTTGTTCAAATGTGTCGTTCAAACCAGCCAAACTGTCACTGGAGCGTTGCACAATTATTTCCGTCTGAATTTCGTGATGAGGAGTTAACTTTGTTTGAATTATTAACATTCAGATTAATATCCTCATTTTTTTACTGACACTATCACAATTGTTGACCCGGATAACATAAGTTCGCCTATCGTCCGGTTCACACTCCTCCTCCGTCTTTTGAACAGGAGTAGTTTTTTTTTTTTTTTTATGAACTGTTTCCTATTCTAGAATCCGTTAACGGTTCCGTCTAAAGTCTACTTCAACTTCATACTTCTAACGTCTCCTCCTAACTCTGAGATTTTATTTAATATTTATGTCATTTTTTAATTTTTTTAATTCTCAATAGAAGTATATAGGTGCGTCTATCGCCCGGTTTACACTCCTTCCCGGTCTTTTCAATACGAGCAGAGTTTATTACTTTTGAGGCTTGTGCTTAGACTTCCTTCTAAAGTATTTTCATTTTCGTTCACTCACAGAAGCCCCTTGTTCATATCTATCTATCTATCTATCTACCTATCTATCTATCTATCTATCTATCTAATATCTATCTGTCTATCTATGTCAATTCCTATCTATCTAAGTAATAAAATATACATTTCAAAAGTGTGAATTTTAAATTATTTTTTTCCTTTTCACCTTTGAAAGTGAAGTCTGAAGATCCCGAGAAAAATAAAATTCTCTGGTGAAATAAATTATGACAAATGGAACCTTAAATTGATCTGTTTTTCTTTAAATTAAATTATTCGCTCTGACTTAACATTGAGCTCTCAGGATTTCATCCTCATGGGATTATACATAGAGATTACCAAGATTTTCGTTACTTAAATATATATATATATATATATATATATATATATATATAAACGAATATATATATAAAATTCAGTTCATATCTACCTATCAACTTCAGTTTATATTTATATATATATATATATATATATATATATATACATATATATATAGAAATAAATAAATAAATAAATATATATATATATATACCTGTCTAACTATCTTATTCAATTTTTATCTATTCATATCTACCTATCTATCTATTGCTTTCTGTTCCTATCTAACTATCAATCTACTTATCTATCTGAGCGATAAGACACACACACACTCCCATATATATATATATATATATATATATATATATATATATATATATATATATATATATATATATATATATATATGTCCAAGTATCGGATTGATGTATACGGAATAAATTCCAATAATCAAAAAATATTAAAATATTAATCTTTCTTAAAAGAGTGCTCAATACAGAGTAGAAGAAATATAAGCATTTATTCGAAAATTATAACTATGTTATAAAATCACAACAAAAATTTCGATAGCCATTTTGTTTCAACACTTCTGTTGTCTTATCAAGTGTTGGTATTGAATTTCAACACCATCACTTTATAAGACACCAGAAGTATTGAAACAAAATGGCTATTTTTGTAGTGATTTTATAACATATTTACGTTATAATTTTCGAATAAATCATATATATATATATATATATATATATATATAGATATATAATCCAGTTCATATGTACCTATCTACTTCAATTCCTAGCTAGCGTGCTAGCTAAGTTCGATTCTATTGGTGAATGAATGCTTTTTTATGCAAATCTATCTTTCGCCATTTTCGCCATCTATCTCCGTTAATCTGTTTTAGCCAATCTATCTGAGTCTGTTATAATCTATCTTTACACACACACATACACACACACGCGCGCGCGCGCATATTCGTTTAGTTTCCTGAGTATTCAAGAAATCCTATTAAAAATATGCACTCACGAACCTGTTGTAGAGTAGTTTTCACAATGGAGGCTTGTATTTCACTAAGTCGGTCCTAAATTAGGTTCGACGTACAAAACGTTAGGAACTTGAAATAATAGTTAATGACGCAGCAATCTAGTTGTGGTGGTTGATACTTCAATGTTCGACATCGACTGACTCACCAACTCCACTCAGCCCCCTGGCGACTGCTACTACTACTACTTATTATATCTGGGAGAGTCTATTTACAATAGAATAGGTATGTTCCGGTATAACAGAACTTAAGTCTCCCCTCGACAGAGGGAACCGTCCTTAGATTCGACGTGCTCTAATAAGTTTTCTCGAATATTCAGACCGGTATACAAAAAAATAAATAAACATGTAGGTTAATAATTAGAAGGAACGTCTACTCAAATATGAGTATCCTCTTTAATCCGACAGATTTTATCCCTTAAAACGTTATTTTAATAGATATTCGTATTTGAGTAGATAATCTGTTTGTTTATTAATCAGTATATTTAATTATTTTTGCCTACCGACCTGAAGAGCCGGGGAGCGTAGAGTTTTCTTTAATAAGATTATAATGTTTAATAAATAAATGGAACGTCTATTCAAATATGAGTATCCTTTAAAAATAATCTAATAGAACCTGTTGGACTAATACATAAAAAAATCTATTACTTTCTTAGAAATTTACTTTCTTTAGGTTTGGATACGGAACTGAACAGATATGTAAATTTCGGGAGTCTATGACGAGAAGGATTTCACTTAAAGACGATATTCAACCATGGCAAATCAGCTAAGTTCTTCATAGTTCAGTCAGTTAAAGTAGATCGCATCTAATGATAAATCCCTCTGCCTAAGGTTGACGTAGGTTCGAATCTTGCCAAAGAGCGTATATGTTTCTTTAATAAGATTTCTTGGATATTCAATCCTGTATACGGAAATAAATAATTATAGTGATTAAAAAATAAACCGGGCGTCTACTCAAATATGAGTATCCACTAAAAATAACGATTAAAGTGATAAAAAATATCTGTCGAATTAATAAATAAAAATCCATTACTTCTTAAAAATTGCTTTGTTTACGTTTGGATACGAAACTGAACAGATATGTAAATTTCAAGAGTTTATGACGTTAGGAATTTCACTTAAAACCACAGCTGAGCATTGCCCGATAGGCTAAGTTCTTCGTGGCTGAGTCAATTAGAGCACGTCGTATTTAACGACGGTTTTCTCTGACTATTATGGTAATGTTAGACATTTCCTTATAAGTATACATTCTACGTTCATTGGACGAACATCCCGTGGCTCAAAAGTTAAGCTTTTTGTCACTCTCTGGTCATCAGGCTGGGGTTTAAGTGCCCTACTCAGCTCTAATATTTTTTTTTTATCCTTTAAGCTCAAGCAAAGGCGATGAAAACGCCAAGAGAAACGGAGACTGCACTGAAGTTAGAAATTCATATCGATGAGATAGGCCAATAAAATAAAAGGGATCAAAAAGATTTAAAACGACGATTGCCGCTGCATTTAAAGATTTCTAGATTGTAGTTAAAAAGAAAGCAAAAATAGTGGGAGAGAGTTTCACAGGAAGAGACTATTAATATAAAACTTACAATTGCATTTCGTAATTTCAACAATAAAATGATTAGATGTAGCTGCCAATCTAGTAAAACATTTGAATTCATGAAATTGAGGTACGAAAGAGGAAAGAGGCAGACTTACATAGATAGATAGATAGATAGAAATGAATAAATAAATAGAAATAAATAGATAGAAAGGAACTGATAGATAAAACTGTGTCATCTGCATAACTTATATTGTTAAGATTCCAGCCGCTAATAATGAATCCCAGTAGAAATTTTAATTCTAATCACCTTGCTGTATAGATTGAAAAAGTTCCCCGGTATCTACAATCTTACCCTGTTCAAGTCTAGAGCCAACCGTTATCTTCCCCTCCTATCCATATAAACTATACCTTAACGTAACCCTCTATCTTGAGTGCCGCCGTGCCTTGTAGAAAGTAAGCCTTAATGTAAAAAAAAATTAAATGTCCGGCGAGAACAAATTCTACCAATTTCTATTTTTGTATATTTATATACATATCCATTTAAAGTGATAACATTTGTTGGATTAATAAATTAAATTCTTTAAATTCCTTTTCTATGCTAAAATTCGCATCTCGAATGAAATGTTGACTACCGTTAGCCTCATAGGGCTACTTCATCTTCTAGTATCAGTTAATACCCTTTTTGCTCCCTCTCTGTACTCTCTTACGGCATGCTCGTTTAGCAACGATTAAGTGGCTTCTGAATCTTGTATTGGGGAAGAATGATAAAAGGTTTTATTTTTAGAGTAAGAGTGGGACCGGAGTATACGTTGAAGTTTGCGTGTGTGTGTGTGTGTGTGTGTGTGTGTGTGTGTGTGTGTGTGTGTGTAGATGCGTGTATTCATTAATTTTCCATCTGGGGAAGGAGAAATATATGCCCCACCGTTGTCTGTTGACCACGTGTTGCTTGAAACAGTACAGGTTCTTACATTTCGTTTGCATCGTTTTTCATCAAATGTCAGAGAATAAAAAACGTCAACAGAGCATGTAAACAAAAGGTCCTTTACAAATTATAAGCCCTTGAATGCAATATGGGATCGGTTAGTCAACTTCAAGTCCTTTCGGAAGGTTAGGGTTACGCTTCCTAAAGAGAGGCAGATATGAATATAATCTGTGTGTGATGCTGGACTTCAGCTGATTGTTCTGTGTTCTGTGTTCTGAACTGTTAAGGCTTCCAAGCAAATGGTGTCAACTGTTATGAAGGCAAAAGGGCATTTCATTGCTTATTTATACTAAAGGCGGGGGTGGGAAATAAGTAGCTTTTTGTACAGATTTATTTCATTTAAAATTCATTTCACATAATGACAATTCTTTCTTACATTTTTCTTTCTTTTTTTTTTTTTTGCATCCAATCTCCCCATACATTTCCTCTTTTATTCCAGATTATATTTCGCTTCTGCTTTCTCTCGTCTTTATTTTAGGTTTTAACTTCGCTATATATATATATATATATATATATATATATATATATGTATAATTCTTTTGCTTGTCAGGTTTCTTTCTTTCCCTCTTCCTTTCCTTCTTCCTTTCTTTCTTTCTGCTTCAAAACCTTTATCTTTGGTCTTCACATTTATCTTTTTCTCTGGTTATTTTAGTTGTTTCTTTTCTTTCTATCCCCTTCTTTTCTATTTTCATTTTTCCTTCTCTTTCTTTCTTTCTTTCTTTCTTTATCTCTTTTTTCTTTCATTTATTCTTTCTTTCTTTCTTTCTTTCTTTCTTCCTCTTTCTCTGACATTTTCTTTGTGTGTCTAACTTTACATTTTCTTTCTTTCTTTAGGTTTCATGCCTTCATTTTTCTCTTTCGTTATCTTTTTTCATTTTTCTTTCTTTCTTTTTACGAAGATTTTTGCCTTTGTTCTTTTTTTTCCGTTTTCGTTTTTCTTTCTTTTTCGATGCCTATTTTTCGTTACTCTCATCTGTATTCCTTTTTTCTTTCTTTCTTTCTTTCTTTTCATTTTTATTCTTCTGGCCTTCTTTCATTCTTTCTTTATGGCTTTTAGTGTATTCCTCTCTAAACCAAATTTCTTCATTTATCATTGTAATGGATCCCTACTTTTACTCCATCATACTCTCAAAGATGACCCGTATTTACACGGGTAACTTAATTACTTAAAATATTATCAGGACTATCCTTTACATTTACGTCTCAATGGGACTTTGTTGACCGAATTCTGTTTATTTAAACCCAACAAATGGTTGACTTTATTTCACGGCACCAAACTGATTTTAAACAATCAGCATTTGTCATATTTAATTTGGAATTCGACAATGTGGAATTGTTGATAGGGTCAGCTATCTGCATTACACACTTGTATTTCTTCTTATTATCCTCCTCCTCCTCCTCCTTCATCTTTTTCTTCTCAATTTTTTCTTTCTGTTTCTCTCTGAATATTTTCCTCTCTAAATGTATTCTCTTCTTTTCTGTCTTTTCTAACTCACTTTCTCATCCCTTCAAAGTCGTCTGCTTCTTCCAATTAACAATATCAACAAAATCATATTTTTCGTATTTCTTATCAATTCACATCATTATTTTCAGTTTTCTTTCTTTTTTTTCTTTTTCATTTCGCTCCAGTTTTTATCTTTTTTTCCTCTTCATTCTTCCTTTTACTTTTCTTTTACTTTTTTTGTTCATTGTTTTCATTTTTTCTTTCTTGGTTGTTTCTTTTATTCGTTTATCGTATGTTTCATTTTCTGTCGAACTTTTTTTCTTTCTCTTCATTCTATGTTCATTGTTTTTATTCTTTCATTCGTTCGTTCCTTGTGGCTTCTTTTTCTTTTGCTAAATTCATTCTTTTCTCTTTTACTTTCTTTCTATTCTTGATTAATATAGATTTATAGCTCATTTTCTCTCTTTCTTTCTTTCCTTCATTCTTTCATTCCGTCCTCATTCTTTCATCCATCTTCCTTTCTTTCTTTCCTGTCTTTTCTTCTCTCTTTCTTTTTCTTCTTTCCTTTCGTTCTTTGTTTCTTTTCTACTTTCTTTCTTTCTTTCCTTTCTTTCTTTTCTTTCTTCTTTCCGTTGATTCTTTCTTTCTTTTTTCTTTCTTTCTTTCTCATCCTTTCTTTTATTATTTACATTCTTGCTAGTTACTTTTTCTTTTTGCTTACTAATTCATTTATTCTTACATATATTCTTTCTTAATTGATTCATTCTTTCAATCTTTCTTTTTTCACACCCATTCGCCCTTCTTTCATTCATTCCTTCTTTCTTTCTTTTTTACTTTTCTTTCTTTTCTTCCTTCTTTCTTTCTTCTCTTCTTTCTTTCTTCTCTTCTTTCTTTCTTTCTTTCTTTCTTCCCTTCTTTCTTTCTTTCCTTTTTACTTTTCTTTCTTTTCTTCCTTCTTTCTTTTCTTCCTTCTTTCTTTCCTTTTTACTTTTCTTTCTTTCTTTCTTTCTTTCTTTCTTTCTTTCTTTCTTGCAAGTTCTAATTTGTAATTCGATGGTTGTCGTCTCCCAAACAATGAAAATTTGTTCTTATTTTCTGCATAGTATACGATTTTTTTCTTTTGTTTCGTTTAATTTTTCCCCCTTTTATATTTTTCATATTATACTTTTAATTAGTTATTTTGTTTCTGTATTTTTCTTTTCTTTCCTTCCTTATCTTTTCCTTCTTATCCTTCATTGCCTTTTACTTGTTTCTTTTCTCTTTTATATCGTTCAAATTCTTTTTCGCTTTCTCCTTTTAAATCGCCTTACTTTTCCTTCGACAACCAAATGTTCAGCTTTGCCCAAATTAGACACGCGTATTTCTCCGAAATGTTTTGCTTGTGTGTCATCCATTAAAAACAAGATAACGTTGTCCTTGTATTTGTTTCCCATTAATCATCAAAATTTACGACATTCGCTCGATGACGTTACATTTTGTCTATCTTCGGAACACTTCGATACGGATAAAAGCAATGCTTGTCCATTTTAAGTAACTGGAACAGTGAAAAGAAAACACTTTAAATCGAGGGTGCGATGAATAAATTGTCGTCTAATTAACGCAAAAGGGAAAATAACGTTGAATGTCATTTTAGTAGATGCCTTTACCAAAATTACCCCAAAATATCTTGAAATAATAAAGAGTAAATTTATTGACTTCAACCACAGCCTCCAGACGACTTCGGAATCTCCTGAATCTCTTCTGGATGGTCTCCTTGTTTAAGTTGGTGAATACTGCCATAATCCTTTCCTTCAGTTCATCTTTGGTGTTACAAGGAGTTTTGTTGGCCTCTCACTCAACTGCGCCCCACACATAATTATCAAGGAAGTTGCAGTTTGGGCAGTTAGATGCCCAGATGTAAGGAGTGATGTGGTTGCAAAAATTATCTAACAGCCAGGTTCTCCTGCTTGTGTAGCACGGTGCAGAGTCTTGTTACCAGACATAGAGTCTTCTAGCAGTCACCCTCTTGACCCAGAGCAGCACTACTTCTTCAAGGCACTTTATGTAAACCTCTGTGATGAGTCTGAGACCGTTTGGGATGATGAATGGTGACATAACGTCACAATGACCAGTGATCACTCCAAACACTCTTCGTAATCACTATTAGACTCATCCAACTCTTTCCGAACATTCTGCACTGTCCACAGATTGACACTCAAACACTGAAATGTTCATATTGGAGGTTCCGGCGCAAATGCAAAACAGTACAGCATGCTGTTTCCAAATTTCTGGAGGAGTGAATTGCGTCATGGTTCTCTTTTTCTCACAGACGATACCCACCTGACCCTTTTTATATTGTGCAGTCGACAAAATAAAAAAAAGTAACGCGCATGCGCGAAATTAAAAATATAAAATGGCAACAATTTACCCATCGTACCCTGCATATGAACTATAAATCATTTTTTTTTTTAAATCATTTCATTTCAAGGAAGGTTATGAAGCCATTAAGGCATATTACTGAGAATGAAAGACAACAGAGAGACAGAAACTAAGAAAATTGTAATGAGTAGAAGGGACAATAAAACAACTAGGTTTTAAAGAGAGACGAGATGACAATTGGCATTGGATTTACGTCTTTGTAGATTATAGTTGACATGAAAGGAAAGAAGCCGGGAGAAAGTTTCACAGGCAGGAAGTGCGAGAGAATTAACTATCAGCATAGAACTTACGATTATATCTAGCAATTTCAGTAGTAAACTGATAAAACCTAGCTACTAATAAATCATTTATAGAAAAGGTAGAGGGAAGCTACTTTACGAGGATGGAAAAGAGACTGGAGACGAGATGCCAGGTCAGTCCTAACATTGCAGATTCTTCTTTGGATTTTATCAGTTGGTTTGGTTTGTTTTATTTTACAGCATATCAACCCCAAATGTTTATTTAATGCCGACAAGATTTTTATTGCTGGTCATATTTTTTTTCAAAAATGTATGTTGGTAATATTTTTTTTTCCAAAAATATATTGTAGGAATAATGTATTGCTGGTAATAATTTTTTCCTTCAAAAATTCATTGCTAGTAATAATATTTTTACAAAGATGTAAGATTTTATCAAAAATCTCTAAATATATAGCAGAAACACCAGAACGGATGTGGCAGTAATATTCAAAGCAAGGATGAATGGTAATCTTAAAAATATGTAAGACAGATTCTGGAGAGTAAAATTGTCCAGCCCGACTTAGTGAACCAACTTTCTTAAGCGCAGACCTAGCAATTGATTCCATATGCTTATCGCACTTCATGTCAGTTGAAACCATTAATCCGGGAAGGTGCAATGAGTTACTCCCCAGGAGGTTAACATCAGCTATACAGATTGAAGGCGAATCGTCTTCTCTCTCAGATGATTAAAAGAGCAGTTTCATTTTTGATGCATTAATTTTAAAGCCACTCTTTTTTAACAATTGCAATACCTACAAGACATTTTTTAAATTTCTCTTGGAAATTATGCCAGTTCAGGCTACGGACCGTTTCATAAATTTCATATATTTGAAACCTTTTCTGACCAAGATGGGTAATTATTCAAGATGAAAAATAACTGAATGTCACAAAAAGAGATCTAAGAAAAATTAAATGTGTAATAATGAAGTCAAAATGATTGACGAAGGAAAGCTATCAGAACAGTTGCTATGAAAAATTATGATATAGCGGTGGAAAAGTGATTGAAGACGAGATACTGGGTCAGAACCGATAATATTTCAGATTCTTCTTTGTGATTTGTCAAAAATCTCTAGATATATGACATAAGCACCATACCAGATGTGGCAACAATTTTCAATGCACAAAAGAATTTATAAACGTGCAAGACAAATTACTGCAAATCTATTTTATGCTGTAATCATGAAAATTTACTTCCTGAAATATTTATCTATGATTACTTACATTATTTACATTTTTCGGACAGTTATCCATATCTTCACTGCCATATTCGAAACTAGAACAATCTAAACAGGTGTACGAAATAAAGGGTTCGGCTCGAAATTCCAACCACCTGAAGAAGGCCGAGGATACAAATGCTGAAACATCGTAAATAACGCAATGAAGATGAGGATAACAGTCTGAAAAATGTAAATATGTAACTGCTTGAAATATCGACTGGCAAAATAGTTATTTTTAATTGTGCATTATTATTATTGTGATTTAAATAATGAATAAAATTGGACTCCAAAACATTATCTTTGAGAGCGTCAAAAGAATTGGTACTCCAAAACTTTATCGTTGAGACAGTCAAAAAAGTTAGTACTCTAAACCATTATATTTGAGACAGACAAAAACAATTGGTACCTCAAAACATTATCTTGGAGACGGTCAAAACAATTGGTACTCTAAACTATTATCTTTGAAACGGTCAAAAAATTTGTACTCCAAATTTAGCTCGCCAACAGTATAAATCCATTATAGACAGAACCGAATGCTGAACCGCTATATATTATCAATCCTGTATAAGTTAGAGTGTTACTTTTTGGTGTTGTATTAATGTAAGAAAGGGCAAGAAGTGAAGTTCTTGGGGGCTATGGGGAAAGATAACAAATAACTCTAGATTTGAAGAGGACAATATTTAATTAGTGAATAACATTTTAGAGTTCATGATGAGACTTTAGAATTATAGTGACGATGTAGACTTTAGAAGGAACTGAAAACAGGAAACAACAAACTTCAAATACTTGTCCCAAAAATAGGGAAGAGTATGAACCGGGCGATAGGCGAACCTATGTATTCATATATATATATATATATATATATATATATATATATATATATATATATATAAGGAGATATGCTATATAATTTTTTACAGTGAGGTTCACTCTGTAAAAGGCTCGGGAGCCACTCGAGGTAGAAGGTTACGAAGTAAGAGGCACAGTTAACACATTTTTTACAAATTAGAGAAGAGTTATTTTTCTTATTCTGTTTCTCTTGTCGCCCTGTTTTTTTAAACTAATGTTCGCTCAATACAAGGCCCAAGGCGCACTCAACGTAGAGGATTAGTGTGTGGAGTTGTATTAGCATAAAAAGGCCAAGATAACAGGCAAGATATCAGCTAACTCTAGTCTTGAAGTGGACAAGATTTAATTAGTGAATAAATTTTCGAGACGTTAGACATATAACGTGGAAATAGACTTTAGAAGGAACCGGTAAGCCAATCCTAAACAGGAAACAAAGAATAAAACTCTAATCCTCTTCATAAGATCGAGGAGGAGAGTGAACCGGACTTTAAGCGAGCCTATCCATTACCCAATGTGTAGAGAAGAAAAATGAATAATTAGTATGGCAGTAAATGCTGGAAAATTTCCAAGGTACACTAAAATAGCAAAAGATTAAGTAACAGGAAATGTTGGTTTCGAAAGAAAGAAAAGAATAGTGAACTATCATCTAATACCAATCGGCCTTATATTGACTGAAAAATTGCGAAAAATACCTTCCAAACGTTAAGCAAAGTAATAAGAAACAGAAGAAATTCGTTTGAAGGAAAGAAAGTGGACTGAAATATGTAATGTCAATCCTTCCATATGTCAATAACTGCTTGAAAATCTATTCACAAATGAAGAATAGACTTGAGGCAAGAGAGATGTTATTCTACAGCAGGATGATGAGAATACGATGGACGTAGCGTGTAAGCAACGAGGAAGTTTTGAGGAAAAAGAAAAAAAATAATATGTATAAT